TTTTTATTACTAAATTATCTAGAAATAAAGCAAATGAAGTCGCGTGCAACATGTAGTTAATTTGACGACCCTATTTCCGTTGCAGAAAACAGAGCAAAGCCCATAAATTGCACCGATATTGTAATAGCTTCCGTTTATTATTTTGTTTGTTTATGAGGGGATGAACCCATCGAAGGGATGATTAAGGGATGGTTACCGTATAAACAGGGCTTTGAATGGATTCGATACTTTTTTACGATAACCTATACGGTAGCAATTTACTTTCTGATACTAACTACTAATAACAAACTTGTTTTATGTATTTGTATCTATTGATCTTATATGTATAGAATATACCTTCTTATACGGCGATGACGGCATATTGGTATATTGGTTTAGTCAGTCTTATTTCAGATGGTCACCAGTTCGATTCTCTCATGATAAAACATTCGTCCTTGGTGGACTAGTTATTGCTGGAACTTTAACGAAAGCATCACACGCAGCAGAAGTACTCAAAATAAATATTCTTTGCCACATTTTTCATTCTTGCTCCACTCTTATGGGTCGTAGCGTGATATTATGTAGCCATTCTAATGGTGAAATAATTTTACAAATCGGATTAGTACCGGAGGTTACCCCGAACAAACAAACACACCTTTTACCTCTTTATAATATTATCATAAGAGCATATAATAGACCCAAATGAATAAAGATAATTTGAATTTGAAAATTTGAATTTATTATTACAGATAAATGAAAATGCCTGAAATTTCAAAAAGTTTTTGTTTCGGACTTTTTTAGTGCTGTTGGTCGCAGCTGGCCTTTACAGCTTCACCAGACGATAGAGGGCGAGTGCAGATGGCACTCCAAACCCGCGGAAGGACTTATGGAGCGGCTGAAGGCCAACTCCCGCCTGACGGATACGACTTAGTCTGAGGCCACTGCTAAGAGTTCGAACCTCGGTTCAGGCAGTCGTAATTTCGATCTCCGTTTAAACTGTACGGGGATCGATTTAATAAAGTATATAGTTTTATTATATATTTGTAATAATAATTGAAAGTTATGCGTATATCTGACACAGAACCCTTCCACGTGACCTGTTACATTGCGTAATTAATTTAACACCAAATAACTTTCCCGGGACTTTGCAACCAGTGGATTGGTCCCGAAATTCCAATAAATAATTATAATCGTTTATAATCTGTATTATTAATTTGTATCGTGTAACATTGAGGAGTACGGTTTTGTTTCGGCGAATTATTCTGCGAGGTGATCATTGATTTTGCCTTGGCTTGGCTTACCTTTCCAGGCACTAATTAAAACATCATTTTGTTATGTTATTTACGAATCTTGCTATTATTTTTTACTATTTACTACAGCCTCGGTGGTTTAGTGGTTTAGCGCACCGCTTTATTATCCGATGGGCGTGGGTTCGATTCCTTGCATGGTTCAAACATTTGTATTCATGAGTATGATTATTTGTATCGGTCTGGGTGTTTTATATGTATAATATGTATTTATTTACAACAAAAAATGTATCCATGTATTTATGTCAGTTGTCTAGTATCCATAACACAAGCTCTGCTTAGCTTGGGATTAGATGGCGTTGTGTGAATTGTCCTGAGATATTATATTATATTATATTATATTATACTAGCTGACCCGCGCGACTTCGTCTGAATCACTCTTATCATTATATATATCGCTCAGTTTATTAAGTTATGTATGTATATAAATATAAAATATTATCTTTTTAAATTATGGCCTATACGTTATTCTGATGTAAAAAACTTCATCCACTATTTTATTTTAAGGGTAACATTTTTACAAACTTTGAATTTCATATTTATTAATATTTAATCAACAACCTTAAAAATAAGTTTCAAGCTTTTAGCTTCAAAAATGACGATTCTTCCATACAATCTTTCATCCCCACTTTCAACCTCTTACAACCCTTTTTTCGCATTAAAAAGTAGCCTATGTCCTATCTCAGACTGTCTAACATCTGTGTACCAAATTTCATTGAAATCGGTTCATTAGTTTTGGCGTGAAAGCGAGACAGACAGACAGACAGAGTTACTTTCGCATTTATAATATTAAGTAAGGATTATATTTATTATTTATTTATTTAACTTCAATGCTCACAATACAAAATATAGTACAAGTCCATTTGGCGGACTTAACACCATGCGGCATTTTCTACCAGGCAACCATAGGTCCAGCAGTGGACGTCTTCCGGGCTGGGATGATGATGATGATGATGAACCATAGGTGGTGCAGAGAATATTTGTTAGCGGTGCAAATATAATAAAAGGTAAACAAAATGCAACAAAATATAAAAAAAAACACTATATATATATATACAAATAAATATATCATTATCATCATTAGAACAGCTAGTTATTTATAATCTATAATATATAATAATCTGTGTGTCAAGGTTTTTTAAGTATTTGATCAGATATATATATATATATATATACTCTCTCACCTGTTACTGACTCAACTATCGACGCGATATCGATCTATCAACGCACAGCCCAAACCATTGGACGGATCGGGCTGAAATGTAGCATGCAGGTAGATGTTATGACGTAGGCATCCGCTAATAAAGGATTTTGATTAATTCTACCCCCTAGGGGATAAAATAGGGGATGAAAGTTTGTATGAAACTTTGTCAATTTTAAACCGATCGTGCTGAGACTTTGCATGCATAAAGCTATGATGTAGGCATCCCCTAAGAAAAGATTTTGATTTGAAATTAACGCGAACGAAGTCGCGGGCAAAAGCTAGTTGTGTAGTGTTGGTGTTAGATAAATTAATAAATGGTTTAGAAATTCTACTAATGATATTGTATCTCATCTACTAATGAGGCCCACACCCCGGATATCCGGACAGAGGTCCTTATCTATTGTAATATAATTTTATTAGTGTTACATTGTAATAGCCCTGTTATCTCGCTATCTTTATAGGCTATATAACTTCACTTGAACTCCAGTAGGCAGTATTATAAGTCTTTGGTCATTTTATGGTTATAACACGTGCAACTTGGTCAATTACTAAGTTTTTTGTTTCGGATTAATGTCGTAAATCAGCCGTAATAACCTTGTAGTAATAATACTACTTTGTTCATATTTAAATTTAACTAATTCTCCAGTAATGGTAAACACTGATAACAAACTAAATAAATCAGGTAGACTGGCCACTATTGTTTGTAATAATTTTTAAATTTCGAATATTAAATTTTTCAATCAACCATCCTTATGATTGATAACTCATTCGAATTTTGAATTTTGAAATTACTATTAGTTGTAATACTGGGTTGATAACTCATATTCAAATTTTGAACTTTGTAAAAATACATGTTCACGTTTTGTATTCGTATTTTGAATATTATTAAATTCTGTCAAGTATGTAGTTTATAGGAGTTACCATCAGTTGGGCCGTATGCCTGTTTACCACCTATGGGGTATAAAAAATATATAAAATAATAATATCTATATAATATTATTTTATATATTCTTTATACTAAAATAATAATATCTGTATATTATTATTTTATATATTTTTTATACCACATAGGTGGTAAACAGGCATACGGCCCAACTGATGGTAAACAGTAACCGTAGCCTATGAAAGTCTGAACAACAGGGGTGTATATATATACTAGCTGACTCCGTTAACGTTGTTGAACCATATAAACTAAAATTGCTAATAAAAAATTAGGGTTGATGATAGAAGGATATATGAAAAGAGTATATATGTTTGTGTGTGTCAAATACATGATATTATAATAATATATAATTAATACATACATATATTAATACATACAATATATAATTTTCAAAAAATGCGTAACTTCATACTCAGCTGTGGGTGATAGAATGAATGGACTGTATGTGTGATATAAATCAAACGATGGATAGAACATGGTAAATTCTTATAATGAAGATACGAGCACAAACAGTAGCAAGGCAAAAGAAACATAAAAACATGCCAATTCTATAAAGAAGACACATTTAAAATTATAGAAAAATAAATATATAAAAATGTACAAAGAGTTTTCCGAGGTATTTTTTTAAAAATAGGTTTTTGCTTCAAGTATTTATATTCTCATAGTTTGAATTCTCGTGTAATATTCGAAATTCGAAATAGAAATAATCTTTATTCAAATAAACTCATTACAGGCACTTTTGAATAGTCATATTTTGATTGATTTTTGCTTCAAGTATTTATATTCTCATATTTTGAATTCTCGTGTAATATTCGAAATTCGAAATAGAAATAGAAATAATCTTTATTCAAATAAACTCATTACAGGCACTTTTGAATAGTCATATTTTGATTGATTTTTAAAGCTTCAAGTATTTATATTCTCATATTTTGAATTCTCGTGTAATATTCGAAATTCGAAATAGAAATAGAAATAATCTTTATTCAAATAAACTCATTACAGGCACTTTTGAATAGTCATATTTTGATTGATTTTTGCTTCAAGTATTTATATTCTCATATTGTAGCAGACACCGTGAGGCGGTGGAATTCGATCGTCTGCCACACTCTGGTATCACTGCAGGAGCGATCACAATTAATAAGAAGGATACGTGCACTTACTTGGATGGAGTCTTGTGCGACGTTCTGGTTCCACCTTAATTTCAACGAGATGCTTCGAAGAGTATTCTCCTGGATTTATCCTGGTTATTCGGTAATATCACGAGACGACAGACCGCGCGAATGTTAAGCCAAGTGCATGCGTGGGTTCACCGCGCAAACCAACTTACGATTGTGACCGCTCCAAACATTACGCGCGGTAAGCGAATAAAAAATGCACAATTTATGATTGGGACGGTACATAATTCCGCCCACCGAAATCCGATAGGCATTTCTTTAAATAAAAATTTGCACATAAACGATACTAATAAAAAAAAAAAGCTATTATTAGAAATACAGATGAACTACTCACTAATGCTATACTATACCTACGATGTAAAACTACGATGGCTAAATATAAATAATAAATATTAAAACGGTTCATTGGGTAATGGGCATAATTTGACCAAAGGTCTCTTGATCAAATTATCCTTATCTGTTCGTACGGTAGCCACGCGAACCAGACCATCTGGTCCAGGGTGTAATTCTACAACTCTCCCTATTTGCCAATGTAAAGGTGGATGATTATCATCTTTGATAATGACCATTGAGTTTAATTCTAATGGCTTCGACTCTTTTGTCCATTTAGCTCGCAAATTTAACGAGTGGAGATATTCGTTTCTCCATCGATTCCAAAACGATCGTTGGAACGACTGAATCAGTTGCCAGCGATCTAGCCTGTTGACATTAAGGTGAGTTACATCCACATCTGGAACAGATGTCAATGGTTCCAGAGTTAAAAAATGTCCTGGTGTTAAGACTTGGTAATCATTGGGATCTGAACTCATAGGATACAAAGGCCGCGAGTTCAGGACTGCTTCAATTTGACTAAAAAGTGTAGCTAGTTCCTCGAATGTCAACACCTGATCACCTACAACTCGATATAAATGCGTTTTTGCAGCTCGTATTTGAATTTCCCATACACCTCCGAAATGAGGTGCAGAGGGTGGGTTAAATTTAAATTCGATCCGTTCTGTCTCAGACGCGATTTTAGTGAGGGACACGAGTTGATTACGAGCACCGATAAAGTTTGTACCACAATCTGCGTGTATTGTGGAACATCTGCCTCTCCGAGCAACGAAACGACGTAAAGCAGCAATAAATCCGTCTGTAGAAAGACTGGAAACGGTCTCTAAATGTACAGCCTTAGTGGCTAAGCATACAAATAAACAAAGATAAGCCTTGTCTATTTTAGCACCACGATATGGTCCAGTTTTAATACGAAACGGACCAGCATAATCTACTCCTACAATAGAGAAAGGTTTTACTTCATTTACACGATATTTTGGAAGGTCGCTCATAAACGGTTGTAACGGTTTAGGTTGGAGTCGATAACAATTAAGACATTTGGATAAACATCGTCTTATAACGCGCTTAGCCGATATAATCCAAAATTGTTGCAGTATTAAATATTGTGTAGTATTTACGCCACAATGACAGTTGCTCAAATGAACCGATTGTATTAATTTAGATGTGAAGGGATTATTCGATGATAATAACGCCGGATGCTTTTGTTCATACTCGAGCCCAGAACGAGAGATCCTGCCGCCCACCCTGAGTACATCCTGGTCATCGATAAATACATTGAGTTTACGAAACGACTTTGGTAATGATTGACCAGAACGTATTCTTTCTAGTTCAGTAGGAAATGATAAAGTTTGAACGTATTTTACTAGAATATAAAGTGATTTGTACCGTTCTTCACTAGTCAAGACTGAATCCGAAGAAAATTCAGATTTTCGTAATATAGTGAAGCCTACCTTATCGACTATTGCATCCAGCGAGAGATCGCTATTGAGTAAATCCTCAAAAAAAGGATCGAGATTAGGATGTGCCATCTGTTGAGTTAACAGAGTCGCGGTTCGCCTAACTTCTGAAAGCACCGTACTGTCATTTGTTTCCTTAACAAATACAGGGGTTGATGGCCACTCGGTGTGTGGTTTACATAACCACGTGGGCCCCGCCCACCATAACGAATTGTTAATAAGTTGTCGAGGAAGCTGTCCTCGCGAACAAATATCTGCAGGGTTATCATTTGTAGGAACATGACGCCACCGTTCAATCGTTGCAATGCCTTGTATGTGACTAACTCGGTTTGCAACAAAAGTTGTTGTGGGGCCTTATGTCCATAATATGATAATGAGGAGGATGATGATGGGCCACTTTGATGAATGTGATCTAAGCCAAGAGAGAACGACAGTCGAATCACTCCATAGAGTGACAGAGAAATTAATACGCGGAGCATATGCCTCTTCCACGAATTTGAGCAAATTCACCAATAATACTGCCGCACATAATTCTAGACGTGGTAAGCTGAGCTTCTTTAAAGGAGCTACGCGAGCCTTGGAGCATACAAAAAACGTGTGTACACGATCGCTACTATCAGTAACACGCAAATAGATCACAGCACCATAAGCCTTTTCTGAGCTATCACAAAATCCGTGAAGTTCATATGACACGGCGTGATCGATAGTACACCGACGAGGCACGAATAAATTTTGAATCGATGGTAATTGCTGAATATAGTCATTCCATGTGCGAACTATGTCATCCGGTGGTGTTTCATCCCAACCTATGCCAGCCACCCAAAGTTGTTGAATTAAAATTTTGGTGTGAATCGTCAACGGGGAAAGAAATCCCAAAGGATCAAACACCCGACTAACCTCACTCAGAATTGATCGTTTAGTGCACATTTTATCAAGAGGTTTTACATGAAAGACGAATACATCATGGGATGGATCCCATTTCAGTCCGAGAACCTTCAGTGTACATGGTTGTTCATCAGTAAACGATTTAGCTTCAACCAGGCAATGCTCAGTCAGTACATCGTCCAGTAGCTCAGGTTTGTTACTAGCCCATTTTCTTAACTCGAAGTGCCCAGACTTGAGTAATTCAACAACTTGTGACTTCACATGTCGGGCTTCGATCATATTGTTAGCACCAGTAACAATATCATCGACATAGATATCGTATGTAATCGCCCTTTTTGCTAAAGGTAATGTGTCACCCTCATCGCATGCGAGCTGCTGAAGAGTTCGACAGGCGAGAAAGGGAGCCGATGAAACACCGTAAGTAACGGTGTTCAGTTTGTACTCTGATACCGGTTGTCGTGAATCTGAACGCCACAAGATGCGCTGGTAGTCCCGATGTGTTGGACTAATAACAATCTGCCTGTACATTTGGCGTATGTCCGCCATAAAGACAATAGCGTGTTCTCGAAAACGTAAAAGAACTTTCGTGATATCAGTTTGACATTTTGGTCCAATTAGCAGTGTATCATTTAATGACTGACCAAGATTATCCTTTGCGGAGGCATCAAATACCACACGCAATTGGGTGGTGGGACTGTCAGGCCGTACAACACAGTGATGCGGGATATAATATTTTCCGCGACGCTTTTCTGAAGTGGGTACCAATGACATATGACCACTCTGAAGATAGTCAAACATAAATTCAACGTATTGACGCTTTAAATCAGGGTCACGCGATAATCTACGTTCAAGAGCATAAAACCGCCTCTCAGCAATATCACGAGATCCCGAGAACACGGGTTCACAAGAATTTTTGAACGGTAAGTGTACCACATAACGACCGTGCTCATTCCGATGTGTAGTTGCGATATATTCCTTCTCGCAAAGAATGTCATCTGGGGTAAATGAATTAGCTTGAGGAACGTTATCGATTTCCCAGAACTTCTCCACTAATTTTGTAAGATCATCATATTGGATCTTTGATTGCAGCGCAACCAATGACGAACCTGATAATGAAGTCTTTCCTAGTAATAGCCAACCAAATACTGAATTAAATGCAGGTGGTTGTGATGGACCGCCCTTAAGTCGTTCTGTAAGTAACGAATCCGCAAAAATATCTGCACCGAGCAACAGATCCACGGGTCCGGGTACATCAAACCCAGGGTCCGCTAAATCTAACGATTTGATATGTGACCAACCAGAAGTATTCAATCTCGCGATTGGTTGGTCACCACAGATCTTAGGAATGACGTGCATGTCAAGTTCAAATGATACGTTTGTATTATTTGTCGATAAGCTTCCTACGATACCACGCACTAAACCACTGATGGAAGCTGACACGTCACCCAAGCCGCTTATTGAAGAACAAGAAGAAAGCACATTAAGATTTAAACGATTTACTGCTTCTTCAGTAATAAAATTATTTTGACTGCCGGTGTCAAACAATGCTCGAAAAGTATTGTTATTCCCGAAACTGTCCTTTACCGTTACAAGAGCTGTTGCTAACAAGACAGTTGTGTTAACACTTGAATTTTGTGTTAACAGTGATGAAGTGTTACTGGAATTTGTTACTTCCCTATGTAACAATGTATGATGTCTACGCTTACATTTTTGACATGTGAATACAGAATTACAAGTTTTCAACTGATGCGACGATTTCAAACAGTTATAACACCACCTTTTCTCGTTTACAATTGCCATTCTTTCATCTACTGATTTTTCGAGAAACGATTTACATGAACCAATTGAATGTGATTGACTACAAAATGGACAACTAGACGACACTGATCTAACGACACTCGACGATGCACCAGTAACCATACCGGTTTTAGACTCATTAGTTGCTACGAGTGTATGCGAAACGTTCATGCGCCTTGTATGAGTACCGGCATGAACATTCGACAAGTCACGAGAATTTGAATGTGGCTTCTGTTCGGTAAAATGTGTATCACGACTATGCGCTTCACACTTAGAATGCAAAAATTCACTAACTAATTTATAAGAAGGAATTTCGATATTCGAATATTTTTCTTCGAACTCACGACGCATCTTTGTGTCAAGTTTTGACAACAAATGGTAAATAAGAATAAAATCCCACTGTTGAACTGGCAAATTCACTTGTTTTAATATATTCAAGTTTTCATCAATCATATCCAGCGACCGACGAAAATCTTTAACATTATTAATTTTAAATTCAACATTTAAAATTTCGCGCCAACATGTAAATGCTAAGTCACGCTTATTTTTGTAACGATTAACGAGTGCGCTATATGCATCGTGATAATATTCACCGGTTACCGGGTACGAACGTATTAACGCTAAAGCTTCGCCTGAAAGGGATGATCTTAAGTAATGGAATTTTTCCAAATTATTTAAAGACGGACAATCATTAATTAATGAATTAAAAATATCGATATATTCAGCCCACTCCTTTATATGTCCTGAGTACGTTCTTAATGAAATTTTTGGAAGTTTTATATGAGAAGAGGTCTTTTGCTCCGATTTCGACGGTAAATTTGAATTTGTATAATTGCGTTGCAAAGCCAAAATGTTAAAATAGATATCATCAAAACTTTCACGGACACCCTCATCATCCGACTCAGGATCATCCTGTAATTCTAAAATAAGAAGATGCGCATTTTCGAAATCGGTAGTAATTTTTTGTAATTCATCACAATACGATAAAAATAGATCTAACTTTGTTGCATCCAACTTCGCGTCATTACCTATTTGTAATGCTTTAGATAAACGGTTAAATGCAATAGTTCGTTTACGTCGCAAGGAAGGCAAATCACGAGTTGTATATTCGTCATGTTTCGATTTAGTTCGTTTTGACAGGCTAAGTTTACGTTTAGTAGTGAGCGACATCTTTAACAAAGAAAAGATTTATTTCTATTTATAAACTAATGGAAACGAATAGATAACAGCTCACAAGTAATGTTCGAGAATATTCAAACAAAAAAAAAAAACAAATAATTTTGAGGGTAGTAATGAATAGAACGTATGATGACCTAAATTATCACGTAAACAACTCTCTTTAACGGAACGACTAAATTATATGTACGTCGCGATAACTGTTACCGTGAAATTAATAACAAATGTAAAACCTTACAAATGTTTTACTATTATAGGATAGTTAAATGTTATGCCAGAGAAAAAAAATGTTTTTATTACTTCTCACTATTACGAAAGGTGCATAAGAAATATAATAAATATTCCTATTAGTAATGATTACATTTGTCACTACTAATACAATTAAGAATTTGTCTGTCTTGTTTGTATAGGATATATAATTTTATTATAAGAAAAATTATTACGATATCATTCGATAGTTTACATTCAACAATTACGTGAACCGATACTAATATATAAACACCGATTAAATATAAGATTGTTTAAATATATGATTCCACACAATTGTTAAATATAACGATTTTGTGATAATAACCAGATTGGGAATTTTATATTTAATGTTTATGCAAGCCGAATTCTATTTATAAAAACATCAATATGAATAAGCTTGTTTTTATGATTTTACAAAAACATAAAATATCGATATGACAAAACCAGGTGAAACTATTAGTTAATTCTTCAAACCAAACCTACTCATTACAATGGCAAACAGAGAGTTACAACAGCGTCCGTATACCCACTTATTTTAGGAATAATGGATACCAAATTCGTATAATGAAATTTAATGATATTTAACGATTTATAAATAATTGTATTTAGTAAATATATACATATATATATATGTATATAATTCTATGTTTAATTGAAATATGTAACGTCCCAGTGCAATATAACTTATACAGCTGATCTGAACTATGAACTTTCGTTTGGTCGGGTTTTAATTCGACCGACGATTATCCCGGGTTTCGGCACCAAAAAGAGATGTAGCAGACTGAACAACAGGGGTGTATACATATATGTACTAACTGAACGTTGTTTTGCACCGTGAGGCGGTGGAATTCGATCGTCTGCCACACTCTGGTATCACTGCAGGAGCGATCACAATTAATAAGAAGGATACGTGCACTTACTTGGATGGAGTCTTGTGCGACGTTCTGGTTCCACCTTAATTTCAACGAGATGCTTCGAAGAGTATTCTCCTGGATTTATCCTGGTTATTCGGTAATATCACGATTTGCGAGACGACAGACCGCGCGAATGTTAAGCCAAGTGCATGCGTGGGTTCACCGCGCAAACCAACTTACGATTGTGACCGCTCCAAACATTACGCGCGGTAAGCGAATAAAAAATGCACAATTTATGATTGGGACGGTACACATATTTTGAATTCTCGTGTAATATTCGAAATTCGAAATAGAAATAGAAATAATCTTTATTCAAATAAACTCATTACAGGCACTTTTGAATAGTCATATTTTGATTGATTTTTGCTTCAAGTATTTATATTCTCATATTTTGAATTCTCGTGTAATATTCAAAATTCGAAATAGAAATAGAAATAATCTTTATTCAAATAAACTCATTACAGGCACTTTTGAATAGTCATATTTTGATTCTACCACTCATTCGGAATGCAGATTCATCACAAGAAGAATGAGCAAGAAACTTGTGTGTTGCTCTTTTTAATAGATGTTTGTTTATATAAATTATTACAGTATAACAAGTAAGAGGCATGCGATAATCAACATAGAAATCGCTACGCACTCATTATTAGTGTAATTAGATAATATTGTCAGTGCTATGGAATTAAAGTTTTTTTATAAACACATTATTATCGTTAACGAATTCTTCAATTTTATAGTAAGCTTTTTTGTAAAGGAACTGTTTTATTTGACATTTAAATCTTTTTTCAGGCAGATTTATAACAGACTCTGGTATTTTATTGTAAATATCGAATAATTGAAATTCTCGTTCAATTCTATGTTCATATAACGGTGTGTTAATAACTCGCATTATATTCAACCTAATTACAATGTTATAAAGCAGAATTATTTAAAAAGAATTTCCGTGAACGATGCATGGACATCAAACGCGTTCTAATTCAGAAATAGTTTAGTAATGCTGATAAAAGTAGGGACTGTAACATTAGCGACTTTTATGTCCACGTTTTTACTATAAAGCAACGTACGTCGTTTGCTGTCGCACGCTAGCTCTGTCTCGTGTTACTACTCGTTGCGTCCTGGTTTTGTCTTAGTTTAAGTTGTTGTATGTATATATGTAAGTTTATATATTTATCCCTAATGTAAGTATGTATATCTAGTAGTATAATAAATAGTGTCTTATGTATGCCACCTACCCTATTCTATGTACATAAGTCCTCTCTTCTAGGTTGTCAGTAAGAGATAGCATTTAGCGATAAGACCGCCATTTGTTATTATTTTACTATTTACTGTATTTTGTTATTGTTTTATGTGTACACAATAAAGTGTTTTATTATTATTATTAAACCCAAAATAAGGTCAGTTTCGGGAATTAAACTTATCTTCAGTTCTGCATCAGATATTTGTGTGTGATAAATGACAAATTATAAAAAGTAATAAGATAGTGCGGATAAGGCAATTTGCTCACTGGTGATGTGATGTAGCTATTAGTTTTAGGGTAAAATGGGACTGACATGCGCTTTTAGTGTGTACGAAAGTCCCACAGTTTCGGGAATTAAATTTATGTTCAGTTTTGCATCAGATATTTGTGTGTGATAAGGCAATTTGCAAGATTAGTATTACTATTAGTTTTAGGGTACATAACTAGGACTGGCATGTACTTTTAATGTGTATGAGCCTCTAAATTTTAAAGAAAAAAAATACATAAAAACTTTAGCATCTGCGACAGGACGCAATGAGATATAGTGAAAATGGACATACTTTAGATTGTCTATATAGGATTGCTCATATTTATAAGACTACATTTTGTAATGTATTTTTTATGTAATTAATATGATAAACAAAGTAATCTATACATGTATATGAATACGTATATAAGCTTTTGCCCGCGTATTCGATCGCGTTAATTTATTCCCTTGGAATTTATTAAAATCTTTTCTTAGGGGATGCATACGTCATAGTAGCTTTATGCATGCAAAGTCTCAGCCCGATCGGTTTAAAATTGACAAAGTTTCATACAAAGTTTCTTCAAAATAGGGGATTTTATCACCTTGGGGGTAGAATTAATCAAAATTCTCTCTTAGTGTACGTCATAACATCTACCTGCATACCAAATTACAGCGCGATAGGTCCAGTGGTTTGGGCTGTGCGTTGATAGATCACTATGTCAGTCAGTCGCCTTTGAGTTATATATTTAGATAGGTTAGTAACGCGGATATTGGAGAAATACTTAACGCCCGTGACAATACTTTTTAAACTCAATCCAAGTCCTGAGGACAAAAAAAAAATTATTTTACGGCCTTAATAGTCTAGCGGTATAGCACACCTCTTTTATTCCAATGGTCGCTGGTTCGATTCCTTACGCAATACAGAGACGTGTTAATTCATATATTAAATTGTTTGTAATGGTCTGGATTTTTTCTATCTATATAATGTATGTATTTACATTAAAATAACATCTATGTATTTATATCGGTTGATTAGTACCTGTAACATCTAACCTGTGTAATAACTCTGCTTAGCTTGGGACTAGATGGCGTGTGTGTGTAGTCCTTACAATAGGACTAGGGGGGGGGGGGGTGTTGTTAGTATTGGGAACTAGAATCTCCCATTGCTAGCAATGTACCATATTAGGTTGACCTTCACGCGGTTCCCCCTGGAAACCATCGTGATAAATTCTAGATGAATTTGTCATGATGGGCTAACTGACCTGACCTCATGTTCATCTTATCCTCCACTGGTGCCCCGCCAGCGGCCACCCCGACCACACTTTTACACACACACACGACACCGTCCTCGCCGGCGAAGACGACGACCTCAAACACACAATATCGCGCATTCAACCGGGCGCCTGCGCGCGCCCGGGCGCTCCACACCGGCGCCCCCGGGCGCCCCTCTGATCGATCCCCCGTCCAATTCAAACGGGGATCGAAATTACGACGACCTGAGCCGAGGTTCGAACCCCTAGTGGTGCCCTCAGACTAAAGTCGTATCCGTCGGGCAGGAGTTGGCCTTCAGCCGCTCCATAAGTCCTTCCGCGGATTTGGAGTGCCATCTGCACTCGCCCCATAACGTCCGGTGAAGCTGTAAAGGCCAGCTACGGCCAACAGCATTAGAGTAGTCCGAAAAAAAAACCGCCAGCGTAAACCGTTAGCGCAGGTGGGTGTACCATTACATTATTAAAAAAAAATTAGGACTTGAGGATCCCGGTCGAAATGGCCTGATACTTCATTTCGTTACTATTTATTTACTTACAAGGAGATCAACGGCCTGACGTTATAGCAGTAAACATAACTGTTAAAAAACAATTCCTTTACCAAAAACATTCTACATCTTGTGCGTCAAGTTCATGTATATACTTTTTAGATAAATTATTCAAATATATTCAGCAGTTTATTGGAATACTAGCTTTTGCCCGCGGCTTCGCTCGCGTTAATTTATCCCCTTAGGGGTGGAATTTATCAAAATTCTTTCTTAGGGGATGCCTACATTATAGTAGCTGTCGTTGTCGCTGTCTGTTCGTCGCTATGTATGCTTAAATCTTAAAAACTACGCGACTTTGAAGCTGTTTTTTTTAATAGATAGAGTGATTCAAGAGAAACGTTTATATATAACTAGCTTTTGCCCGCGGCTTCGCTCGCGTTAATATATCACCTTAGCGGTGGAATTTATCAAAATCCTTTCTTAGTGGATGCCTACGTCATAGTAGCTTTATGCATAAAAAGTCTCAGCCCGATCGGTTTAAAATTGACAAAGTTTCAGTAAACATAACTGTTAAAAAACAATTCCTTTGCC